GATCGAATTCGACTAAAATACACACGGATGTACACGGGAAAAAATAACGCTTATACCAGTAACTTGTTTTGAGCCGACCAAACCAAACAAATTTGTTTCTCCGTTATATACCGCCCTCAGCGTCGACAATTGGGATGTTATTAGTGTAGAAATTACAGTTCCTTTCCTGGAAATTTCTTGGACAACGTGTTCAGCTTGGTATTCGGTAGTTATGTTTTAGTTTTGATAATGTAGTACAGATACTAAAAATTGCAGTGCAGAATAATAATATTATTTATTCGCCTTTGGAACAAAAAATGCTTACAAGTCGATTAAACATAGCATTATCTCTGAATTCCTTTGTTGAGGCTCCAATCTGTCTTGAAGAATTTCGTGATTAACATGGAGGTTTCTCCCCCAAAAGTATAAGAGTAAACTCAAGTTTAAACTTAACAAACAAGTGTAAACAAGTGTAACATGACAAAACACGATTTAGCAATTAAATTCTCAATAGACGACATTATAACATTTGAAACACAGGACTACCCTGTGCCCTAAATATAGAAAATAAATGTGATTTTCGTTGTAATTTGTATAGTATGGGTTCATTCGATTGAGAGACATGAAATCAAGGAAGATTGTCGTATCTTTCGAGAAAATTTACGGTGCAATTGAACTACAAAACACAACAATACCACAAATATCGAACGTTGGCACCGCGGTATATTTGTGTTGCATGATGGAACTCAACTAACTAAATACATCATCGATTTAATTATGATTAAAACAAACCGTAAATGTATTCTATAATCTATTTATTTCAAAACATTTTTTTTTTCAAATGATGCTGTACGCCCTTGTTTTGTTTATTTTAGTAAAAAAACTTTTTAGACATCATCTCAGTCAAGGTTGCAATACAGATCCTGTCATTGAAAATGATGTAACTGAATATTGCGCACATGGATTTTTGACAAACTGTTAACTGCTCATATGATCTCAGCAGAAGTAGCGATTTCTCGCTAGAGGGCGCGCCTTATCACTGTTTGAAAAATTGGCTGGTTCTCGCCTCAAATCTCATTGCGCACCAAGCCGCAAGGATGAATTATAGTTTAAGTTTGTAGGTCCATGGTTTGACTGTAATTTAAATAATTTACTAATTTCTAGTTGGTTATTGATTTATAAGATAAATTTGACTCAAAGATGACTGCGTCGAAACCATCACACTTGATAGTCTTTCCTCCCAAGGTTGGTAATCCTTAAACTTGACCGGAGTGACGTCATTTAGGGCAACAAATGAAAGAAAAACTTCATCTCGCGAAATATTTCTATCAGGTGTGTACTACAACAGCAGCACGCTCGGATCATGGTAAATCATAGTCAATTAAACAATATGTAAAAAGTACCTGTTTTCGTCGACACTGCACTTTTAATAATAATGGTCAAACAACTAGGATGATCATTTTCAATTTTACGTAAACACATAAAAGTGCAATCCATTTTGAAGTGCAATTATTTGCCTTATTCAATTAAAATAATTCTCACGGAAGTGTGAATACGAATTAAAATAACGGCAAAAAGTATACATGCATACAATCACACTTCAAATCCTACATTTTATCAATTTAAAAGAATTTTTCACAAAACGCGTGAGTATTCTCGTCAATTTTTGAGATGCCGCAACTCAGCGACGGTATTTGGAAAACAGAAAATGTAGCAGAGTGGTCCGGGGTACGCGCCATTTGGCACGTTGCATGCTGGGAGAAATGATAAGTAGAGCATGTTGTATGCAAGGTGTATTCAGTCGTAGCAATGTGCGTATTGGGAAGTCACTCAAATTGAAATATTGCACAAAAATCGAAAATATACAAATAGGATATCAAGCGTTAAAACTAAAAAGTTAATGGTTCCTTTGACAGATGCATCATGCGGGGGTCACTCGCTTGTAATTATTAAACACAACTCTAAATAAACATTATAACAACATCAAAACAGACATTTTATAAATCCCTCGCACATAAAATGGTAATAGGTCACTCAATTGTAAATAATAAACTCAACATGTACATAACCAAAGATAAAACAATTGAATAACTAAAAAAATAATATACATGATACATGTGATCAGCACTATAACAATATAACATGAAATATCAGCAATCAGTTATATTAAAACTAATTGTATACAAATAAATGTATTACAATATCACAGACTACTTGTTTCTATAAAGAAAAAAAAACACGAAATTAAAATGAAAGCAGTGACGTCACGGCCTAAATGGTTACCTTAATCCGCAGGCCCACTGTAATACAATATGTCACGTGATTCAACTGTGACCACTGATTGGATGTTGATCATCACGTACAGACAATAGTTTTCTCGCCATACTGACTAAACGTAGCCTGACATATAGGCGTGAGTAGGCCCTCGCCGGCCGAACGGCATCAGACCTCACTTGGGTTTGGAGCACCGCGGAGTGCTCAACTCACGTGACCTCGTCAGGCTAGACGAAACGCGGAAAACATAAAAAGAATTATTCCTATATTTGACTATAACGTATTTTTACAACTATATTTATTTAAACCAAAGTATATATTGGGTCTACGTACTTCCTTTCATTTTTGAAGCAGTTTCACATCCTTCTTTTAGGTGGACACAACTGAGAATATTTATTTGTTATTTCGAACAGTTAATTATAACAAAATAAAATTCTTTATTTTAAATTCAACTTTTCAAAAATTAGTAAAAATAAATTCCATACAAAACACCCAACAAGTGTTTTCAACGAAAAATAATTCCAGCTAAAATAAATTGTTATAATAATTCAGATACAATTGTATCTTAACGCAATTGTATGTTTCTCTAGCACAATTCTGTTTTAAACTAAGTGAGAAAAGTAGGTCAAAGACCAGTCAATTCAGTACGAATCTCAGCGACGTTGGATGGCATGACACAGACCCATGCAGGAAATACGAGCCACGTTAATGTCGGAAGGAAAGGCTAGTCTTGTTTGTGTAATTTGCGACGTGACATCCGAAAGAGCTCTGTTACAACGATTTTTACCCGTATAATTACTTATAATGACACTGGAGGTGTACAGAGCACGGGGAATGAATTTGTCACTACAGGTGGCGCTCATCGTGTTGAGACCTGACCTACAGTGTCAATGGCCGCGACAGGCAGTTGTGGTTACTTTGCTGACGTAGAAAGAGGCTCAGTGTAGGGTCATTCACATTTGTTCTTGATATGCTGTTCATACGTTGTTATATCCAAAGAACAACACCACAGCCGTATGATATTGTTATAAATCCGTGTTTTACGGATGACCCTTCATGACATAATTATAGTGGGCACGTCGAAATGATTCGTATGGTTGATCGACATCCGGATCGCATGCCTTGTGACGTATTGATTCTGGTCATTGCGGGAACTTATCAAGAAAAAAAAATACGACCGTTTTGTAATCAACGGGAAGTTGAAAAGTAATTACACTTTTTATTAAATGTCCATCGTTGTCTGATTTGGAGTTGAAATGTATTCCGTCTTCCAATAAGGTTAAAGTTCACAGACTCACTAAATAACAAGGATTCTTCGATGATTAACAACCTATCAAATACCGTTGTCGTGAGGTTGTGAAATATGACACTCAATAATTATGTGTACATATCGCCTACTTTTTTTTAGTTCAAATTATATTATGAAATGTCGATGGGCGATTATTGAATTTATCAAGAATGCGCAATAAACAAACGTACCTACCCGAAAACATACCACGATTTGATATAATATAATATGACAACACACGTACATGATTTCGGTTTATCTTCTCACTTTAATAATTAACAAACGTATTAACAAATAATTTTAATACATCGTTGTAAATAGTGCTCAGTCGACGTCGTTAATATATCTTAATAGACTGTGTCATCACTTAGACAGTACATACCATTCTAACATCGGACGCCCCGTGGCACCACTGTAATATTAACTCCAATGCACTTTTGGTGGGAGTGCGGTGAACCCTATATGCTGAACACTGTCGGCCAATCGTCGACCTTAGATTTAAAATATACAGTACTAGTATATTGAACTTGAACCCAAAGAGGTTGTACCAATGACGATTCATATGTAAATATAAGTGGGTCTGTAATTTCCGGTCATTTTATAATTTGTGTACCTGAAATAATATTAAGCGCCATGATTGATTGTTTAACATTGTCATGAAAAGAAACATGTCGTTGTTATGACAACCAATGTTACGATGTTACGTGGCATGTGATTGGTCGGTAATGCTCAGAGACCAATAAAACATACAGCATTTCAGAACATACAATGGGTGCGTCTAAATAGTTTATAATTCTCATGAATAAATTATAAATGTAGTGATCGTAACGCCACCGCTCGCCTCATAGGATGCATTTCGTGTGGTTCACGACAACCGGTCATCAAATATCATAACATCACATAAAATGCTGACGTTTAATGGAAATGTTAAAAATACATAAGTGCATATAGTTGTCGTTCATGAAGTTAAGTATGGCTACCTGGAATAATTAATAACAGTTTTGTATCTCACCCATAATGTCCGTACCGTGAATAACTGCAGTATGAGTGTGTATATATTTATATATATATTACTTCAAACGCTGAATAATTACGTAATATTATCTGTATGGTGGATAACTACATTTAAAATAACGCACACAGAAACGTAAATATTATTACTTTTGTGAGTTGTTATCCGGTTGAAAAACTCAGCGTAAAGTAATATGAAGAGGCCGGGATGGGACACTTGAAATGTTAACACGGTGATAGACAAATGTTACTAGTATATCAAACTACGGCTACTAAAAACTAGTATTACCATCTTTAAATCAATGGCAAATTTTGGCTGACGTACTGTAAAATATATTCGGATACAGTTCAAGGCGAAAATTGCACTGAATGTGGCCATGTAGAAATCCCATCAATGTCACAGAGCATTGAAAAACACGTTTTAACATGATGTGTGATATAGCGCTTGTCACGTTGTTTTCACAGCAACTGTACCGGACCTCGCCATTCTAAGTTCTTCATCAAAATCTTTAGATTCCTGAGGAATATACATATAGTCTGTGGGCAGAAGCTTTCGAAGTTCATTCAGACCGTCTACCATTTTTATTTTGTGGATGAGTTTACCGTTTGTGAAAGGTTGAAACAGTCTCAATGCTGTTTTCACCCAGAATGTAGGATGCACTACGTAGATATTTGCAACATTCTTACGCAGCCCGCGGTCTAATATAGCGTACATCTTTTTAAGCCACCACATCGGAGGCAGAGTTTTTCTCGACCGTCCACAGAAATAAACCAGCGCATAGTCCCTATTAGATAATACGTCAACCGTAACCACGGCGTGTAGAAACAAGTTTTCCATTGCATAAACGTAGTGAGGGGAATTTCGTTCCCGTGCCGGAAGATCGTGCCCGGATATCGTAAAAATATCAGTTTGGTTTGTCGTTTCTAACTTTCCGCCGTATGAGATAATTCCGCTGTATTTTTTGGTGATTTTAAGATCGATATGATAGACGTTATCTCCGAGTTTTACCGACTGATAATCCTCGTCGTCTTGTCGGACCTCTTCATTGCACATTTCCGACATTTCACGTAAAGACTCTAACTCACCAGACAAAGTTGAAAGTGGCGTGTAATCGTCCCAGTCGAAATCGTCCTTACATTCGCAATCACTCCATGAATCGTCAGTGTCCGATGACAACGATGACATACTTTCCCCTCCAACATCAGGCAAGGCAAACATTGTCAGACTCTTTTTGTCAGTACAATGCTTCAATTCTGTGTTTCTAATGTCCTGGTCGTTCCCACAGTGCTCTTCGCGCGACGCTTTCTCCCGATCGAGTGACGTGACTTCTGCAATGATCCGATCGATGTCAATATCGTCATCGTCATCATTGGTGTAATATTCCTCCTCGAATACCTCATCTGGGTAGTCATAGTGACCACATGGGGACGACTCTAGTTCACAATATGTAGATGAAGAATACTCCAAAGAACAAATGTTGTTATGGTTGTTATCGGTGATGAGCTCCACTTTCGGGGCGAGATCTCCCATTTCTAGATCTATCGCCCGAAGAACAAAATGTTTCTCTGTTTATCGGTAGTATGTATAGGCTAAACCTGTGTGATACTGAGCCAAAATCTTCGCCGTACGTTCAACAATTTCTTTTCCCGTAATGTGTCAAAAAGAGCATTTATACTACGTGAGTTGTAGATACCTGGTAATTCCCCATTGTCTAACTTCCGTGGCTTTTATTTTATGTAGTTTTCACGAGAATCTTTAGACCTTATAGCATGTAATTTACATACTGCCCTTATATAGCGTTATCTCTAGAAAACACTCAAGTTTTTTTTTATACAAGCGTCCGTTTCCGGTGAAGCTAAATCGAGCAATTGTCCCCAAATCAGGACCTTTAGTTAGACTGTACTTAATTTCCGCCTTTCATTGAATATGCGTGGATGTTAGACACAGTGTTTGTGATTTAAACTTTGTAAGTCTTAAACTCATCTCCTCCACCACGTGTACGTGTATGTGTGTGAGGGGGTGGTGGTGTTACAGTCTAGTTCCACCTTTATACGATTCTGGATGTACATGTATTACAGATACAACAATGATTGAATAACAAAAAACAAACTCTCATGATAGCAGTTGGTTGAATGGCATTTGATTTATGTGGGGAAGGGGCGTATTTGAGCACGGTAATTTGAGCCATGCCATCATTGAATAATAATTGCACATTGTTCTACCCGGCCATCTTCCCCATAGTATGTAATCCCTGAGAACAATTTAGTCCTGAACTTGATTACACCAGCTCCCTGATTACACGACACCATAAAGTACAATTACCGTCTCCTAATTCACTTCACGCGGTGAATGTACGGAGTATACCATAATATGTATGGTTGGGTTAAATTATAGAGGTAACATCTTTCTTATCTCCGTAGAACTTTAGACGATCGATATAGTAGCATTGGGTCCTGGAACGGGTGCATGGTGTGTTGTGGGGCAGCGGCACATTTACAATTACGTCATTATCGCATTGCACTGTGGGGTATGGGTTTATGAGTAACGACGGTTTAAGTCAGGGCGTACGCCCCGCTTAACCCACATCTGGGATCTGTAGCGCAGGCACGTGTGCCCAGATTTGACCTTCGCTTCAATGGAATATACTGTCCGTCTCCTACTGATACTAATTACAGTCAGTGGCGAGGCCGATACGAGCATTTAATCGACAAGAAGTTCAGTGAAAAGGTCACCATATACAGACAACCGTTTGGTTCAATATAAATAATACTTCATTATTACGTCACCGACAGCCAGACCATGATGGTCATAGCCCGTTGTGTCGTCACCGGAAGCGCTGTCCCAGCACAGACCTGTGTCATATGACGCCTTACTAGCCGATTTTGGCTAAAATAGCGCTTCGCCGCCTCTTTACACCAGTGTTTATACACGGAACTTGATATTGCTTTTACAGTTTAAGTTGCCTTTTGATCATATATTTTAGTGAAATATTGTCTAGAGAGTGAAATATTAATGTCACAAATAATTCAATCTTTGAAACAACAGAAAGTAACAAACACATAATAACGATAATCAAATTTGTGTTTGAAGTTCGAAAGTACCCGCGTAATTTCCGGTTTCAAATAGTTCGGAAATAGAACGTCCTTGAGCGCAATAACATCACGCGTAGAACGCCTTCTGAACCAGATATTAGCAGCGTAGACTTATTGTAAATTTGCCCAATTTTGGGGCCAGTTTGTTCTTACAAGTTTCCTAAGTTTCATTTATAATTATTTAGTAAGCAGGCCCCTTAAACGAGTTAATATATCCGTAAAATACGTGCCAGTCGACGATTGACTTCGAAACGTTCGAAATTTCGAACAAACTCCCGGCACACCTTGCGCGATATGCGTCAGATCGGTGTAGAAGACGCCGACCTGCAGCGTCAATGGGTCAGAGCCACTTCACCGTGGCGGAAAACAGAGGTGATGTACCAAGTCACGGTTGCCATATATGGTAAAGCAAACAATGTTATAACTGAACTCGGGTCAAACTAGTAATGACGTCACAAAGGAACAACGGCTGTTGACAAGTTTACTCGTAATCAGTACACATCGCGAGTTCTAGTACGTCACATTTGAGACCGTCGTACGTGTTCTAGGCATTCAGACAATTACGGTATAACACTGAAATGTGACAACTTCCAATTTGAGCACATTGCAAATTTAAAAAAAATGTCCACGCTTATTTCAATTAATCCAATAACTGTTATTGAGTATTAAAAATGAAATATTACCCGACAAAGTGGTCCATATCTGGAAGTGAGTCAGAAACACATTGTTGATGTATTAGTTCATCAAGTGAAAATATTTGATTTAATAATAATAATAAAGTCTTGAAAATTATTCAGCGTACAGATGGCGGATTATGATAACAATAATTGTATTACCCAATAATGAAAATTGTTCATTTTTCACAGGAACCAACAAACAAAAATGACGAAAAACCGAAATTTTGATGGCAAAAAAGTAAGACTCTGCTGCCCTATTTAAACAATCATTAGAATGTTATGAGTTTTATGATATGGTCAGTATCGATCACAATCATCGATCCTGGTTAACGTTCGGCCAACGTTTCTTCATGTTCACATTCTGCTATTTTTGTTTCGTAAATAATTTATTTTGTTTGGCGAGACATTTGTCAAACTGGAACTTCTTAATTTGTTGTATTTAGAAAGTGACGTCAATGCACTCATTCAATTTTGAATGAGTATTCCGTCAATCAATTAAAAGAGAGGTCAATGACTCGGAACTGAAAGGTAAGTTGAAGCGCAGAGGTAAAATAGTTTCTTTTATGAACAGTGGTCGATTCATAAAAGGCAAAGCTAAAATTAGAATCATATACTGTACTTATTTATAAAATGTGACTCAATATGTCAAGTCCCTCTCGCTAGGTTTCCGCGATCTGCGAGAATCATACATGAAAGGCGCCATCCATTGACATTTAAATATTTTTCATTGGTAATAAAAAACACATAGTATATAACAGAAACTTGAAAATAAACAAGTCATTGTTAATGACACAGTCCCCGTCCCAAATTTTGTGATCTGACATATCAATTTGATGCTGATGAAGTCATTGAGATTAGATTGAAACCATGAATAGAAGATGGATTTGTAAAAAATTATGATTTAGTGCTTTTACACAAGAATTGGACATTGGGCAGTCATATTGAATATAATTACAAAAAAAACAAGTGGCGTATACAACAGATTGTTTATTTACATCAAAACACGTGTTCCGTGTAGTAGTAATATGGCCAAAAATAAAAACAGCCGTTATTTGGCCATCTTTGATCTGATTATGAAACACACTGATATGTGTCAAATACGAATGAAAATGGTACATAAATTGTGGAAATATAGTAGTAGGGCCAAAAAGTCAGATTGCTGTCAATCGGCCATCCTTGACCAGATTTAGAAACAAATTGTTATGGACATGCATTCTAACATGTATAAAGTAAATGTATGTGCCAAATTTGAATAAAAACTGACAGAGCACTTCCAAGATACCGCATAAAAAAAACAAGATGCCTGCCAGTCGACAATTGCGAAATAAATTGTACTGGACATGTAACCTAACATGTATAATCTATGTACCAAGTTTGAATGACAACTGACAAAGCATGTCCAAAATACAACATTTTCAAAAAACAAGATGGCTGCCAGTCGGCCATTTTGAATCGAATCGCTAAACCACTGCATGTGCATATGTCCCACATAAGGTACTATGCACATGCAAAGAATGAACAGAATCGGTCCACAGGATTCTGAAATATTACTATTGACAGACTGACGCACGAACGCACGGACGGACGGACAGACTCAGAAACTCACGGATGGTCGGGGACATGTATCCTAACATGTATGATCGATGTACTAAATTTGAATGAAAACTGACAAAGCATGTCCAAAATACAACATTTTCAAAAAACAAGATGGCTGCCAGTCGGCCATCTTTGATCCAATTGTGAAATAAATCGTCATGGACATGTATCATAACATGTATAATCTATGTACCAAATTTGAATCGGAATCTGATATATGACTCCGGACGGACGCACGGACACACGGACGCACATACGCACAGACGCACGGACGCACAGACGCACGGACGGAGACCGAATTATAAGTCCCCGTTTTCGGACTTCGTCCAAACGGGGACTAAAAAAAGTATTCTACCATCCGGGCCTAAACGTTGTACAGAATATTATTGCGCATATTCGAAATCTGGATAAAATACATTGCCAAACAATTTTTTTCTGACCAATACAGGACAAATTTGGCATATTTTTAAATATAAGCAGACAGTAATTCCCCGATGTCGAAAACCACAAAACATGCAATTAAACTTTTCAAATATCGTTTTTGATTTAATTTGTTTGTGTGCAATTTATAGAAGCTATTCTATTAGTAAGTTGTCATGAAGCATATACTAGTACATGTGAAAGCAAGTGAGTCTACTGTGACATGGACTCAGTCATAAGAACGGTAAGGGGTCCTGCACTCAAACCAGTACTGAGTTTAATCATATCACAACGCTTATGTGAATATTTTAGTCACATTTTGGATCAATCAAAAATTTCAGATATTCCTGGGCGAAACAAAAAGAACCAACACTACTGTGACGATGAAACACTTTACGACATTGAGAAATTCTTTGGTTTAAGGTTGAAGCCTACTCATAATTTTGGACAAAATTGGTCATGAATCACGTGACAATGTTCATTAGTTTATTATGTACAATCATGAAGCTAATGTCCCATGGTACAATGAAATACCATTATTTTGCATGTTTCTGTTAAGGTTTTTGAGAAACTTGTCCCAATATTTCCTGAAAATCGCTATTGTTATAACAATTCCAATGAACACAATGTTAAAAAAAAAATGAATTTGTTGACACTTTTTAAACCCCAGATTTTTTAAATAATTCAGAACAATAAAAAGTATTTCTTCATTAACAATATATGCTATTTTCAGCCTATGTCACCA